GATTGCCTTAATTTACTAAAAATAAAATTATGTAACTTTAGAGCACTGAATGCTGTTTGGAAAAGCAGACGTGCAGCCAAGAAGGATGTTTTGAAAATAAACTTCACTATTTTATGACGCAAAAGAACAACAATATCTGTTCATATTTTAATTTTGGAACAAGTATTTCAACTTTACTGTTAAATCAAATACTATATCATTTGTGTTTACCTTTAATTGTATGAATTGAACATTTTCATCTGACAAAAATATAGTAAAAACAAAAAGTATAAAAATGAAATGCATTCTGTACAATACATCAGTTTTTAAGCAGATTGCTATGATATTATGACATCAGTTAGTAAATCATTCTGTAGGATCAGAAAAATGTAATTACTGTTCTTGTTTGCTTTTTGAAGACAATACTTGTTCATTTGTTAATCTGAGATGCACAAATGTAACTATGGTAACCGCATTTTCTTCATCAGTTCACACATGTTGCATTTCTAGGGGCCTCATTCAGACAGGAAGTGAAACTTATGTGCTGGAACCAATGAATCATGAAGATAACATGAATCAAAAACAGGTCAGTATAAAACAACAAATTATGACAGTGTTTTGTTTTTTCACATAATCTTACAATGGACTGAAGACGACTTAGTTATAAAACCATGTTCATTATAACAACTCCTTAATATTGTTTCTCATATTCATTTTCTGTGTAGAGTAGATGATCCATGGTTCAAATAAAATAGGGAATTCAGATCTATTGCCCACGGGGCTTTTAAACATTTTTTGAGAAAAGTATGGACAATTTTGTGAAAAGTCGCAAAAGTTGATTCTGGCATCGAAAGGGTTAAAGGTCAAAGGATTCAAGCTGATCAAAACTTATTTTTATTTAGAATGCTTATATAAGAAATATGAATGTTGTTCAGACAATCCAATTCCCTAGACATTATTTCCAGTTTTCCTGTGTATTCCCTGATTATTGGAAGGGACATAAAATTTTACATATGCTGGAAAAAATATTCCAATGAAATTTGTGCATCTAAACCTTTACAATGAATCACCTCAGTCGTCATGAAGTATGTGTTTTGATTTTGTGTAAATGTTGTATTTTACATGCTTTGTGTGTATCACATGGGACCCCTATCATACACTGACTAAACAAAGACTCAGACGAATATAAGCATAAGCAGACTCATGCCTAAACACACAATGACAGGCTGATTCAACTATTCGCTGCATTGCACTATGCCATAGTGAAGACACTGACACTATTTTTCCCACGAAGTCATACTTACTTATCATTTACCATTATTCTATTCTGAAATCTAACAATAGCTTAATACGTTTCAGATAATGTGCAAACAACCGGTAAAAAGTTTAGTATTATTGTTTGGGCAGTCTTTGTTAAATAACTAGGTCATTTAAAGATGTCATGAATACTGGTAGGCAAATCACTTGTTGGTTTATTCATTGTATAGTTTGACAATTACTAAGTAATCAAATTAGAATCAGTTTAGATTCAGGTTTTTAGTTACACTTTTTATTTTTTTTATTTTCATTTCATGATTTTTGATATACTAAATTAATGATAAGTAATTGTTTAATAAAGTGTTGTTATGAGAGATATTAGAACTTAATTTTATTAAGTACATGTATTAGTATTTACTAGAATATTTTGTTTGTTTTGTGCATCATATTTACTCCAGTGAAAGCAATCTCCTATGTCTGGATCATTAAAATATGACATTTCAACTGTAGACACATGTATGAGTGCATGCACCACTAATAGAGTAAATATGGTATATTATGTGTAGATTCAACAGTTTTCATCTTACTAAAGCAAAAAATTTATTGATTTCTCATTATTAGGCAATTACAGCATACCAGCAACCCCTTTTATTTGCATTTCAACTTGAAAAAAGTTCCTCCTCTATGGCGAAAATGAAAGTTTATAAACGGTGACATTTTAAAGTGACTGCCATGAGAAAAAAACAATTTTTCCATTCAAATTAGTAAATAGCAGTTGGGATATTTATTACTACAATCAATTTTGAAAATCAAACCTGAAACACTTTTTGAGAACCTTACTGTGTAAAAATGTTGTAAAACACTTTGACAAAAACTACGAAGTATTCCAATAATCCAATTAATGCTGCTAATTATAAGTATATTTAGAAGCACTATAATTTCTTGATGTTTTGTTGATGATTCATAAACTTGCTTCCATGGAAACAAAGGTTTTGTGATTTTTCACCACGTATAAACTCAGGAATTTTTTTAAATGTTAACCAATCCAAATTTTACATAAGGCACCAAAATACAATTTAGAATTTCATTTTAAAAAGCTGCTTTCTTATTATTTTCATTCAAAACATACAAATGTAAATGATGCCACCAACATTGTGTCAGACTATGAACGTTGCATTTGAACAATACCTTGTGGTTGCAGCAGGTTGGCATCGCATCACTAATTTAACATATTTGCACAAGTGTCTCTAATGCTTGACTCTACTTGAGGTGGAATTTTTACATACCGGTACTATTATCTGATAATGAATCTAATGACAATGTTGTGGTGTTTCACCTGTAGGTATCCAGCCCACCACATATCATTCATAAGAAATCAACATCCAACCCATTACACAACCTGCATGGTGAGCTCATCAGTATACATCCTCATCTTATCATCTTTTATATATATATCTGTGATTTAAAAAAAAAATCTTGTATTATAGAAGCATGCATTAAATTATAATTCAGTCATAAAAAAAACACGCACAACTTATAGAAGTTGTTGATTCAATCTCTAGCAAATTATAATGGGGGGGGGGGTGTTTAATAGTTATATTTACTAGTATAATGGTATAGAATTGAGTTTAATCCTCCTACCTGCATATGCCATATTTGTAAAATATCGATACATCTGTCATCATTACCATAGTTCACATCTACTTCATTACCTGTGATAATATTGATATAACCTTTATTTGTTTTGAACATCTGGACTGAAATACGAAAGTAGCTGCTATTACATGCAGCTGAATAGACCACATATGAATATGTTGAACATCAAGTGGTGGAATTCTCATTACATCACATGCAAACTCCTTTCATGAGAGTTACTGTTTAAAAAATTATGCCAATCCTGTTTTCAATTTTTGTATCTACTTCTTTTTAAGTTTGCATTAATATATGAATACATGTAAGTTTTTCTTTTCCTTTTTAAAGCTAATGGTTTGCTAACAAGGAGTAAAAGAGTAAGTGACATCAACTTAAATAAATAAAAAACTTATAATTATTTACTGTACTGTGGTATCAATTTTGAGTAGGAAATGTCTGGTCTAGCAAAAAAAGAAATCAATATTACATTTTGTTTATCCGTATAACTCATGGAATACTAACATGAAATGACAGCCCCTTCCTCCCTATGAAAACTATAGGAAGTGTGATTTGAGGATACCTGTTGTAATTCTGTATCCCAATATTTGTGAATAACACGTAGTCTTGTCCTCCAGGTACGCAGAGATATACACAGCGAAACAAAGTACATTGAATTAGCGTTAGTATGCGACTTGTTGCTGGTGAGTGATGTCTTGTTGCATTCTATAAATCCGAAACTTGTATAGAATTCAGGTATATATTAATATATATGTACCCTGTTTTAAGACAAGTAATATACCCCATAACATGTCGCATAGTGGGCAAAAATGTTTCTGAGGGGGTGCCCGAGTAAGTGCGCACCCCTAAAAAAAATCATGATTTTCTGAGTTGAGGACCCTGGGCGCTAACACTGTTCAATGCGGTATATATACAATATGTTTATTGAACTTAGGCTGAAATAAATCAGTGTATGATAACCAGTATTGCTTACTCTAAAACTGCATGTTCTCCCTGAACAGCTCCATCTAGTGTGTAATGTGCACCCTCAGGTGGTATAAATATCTCGGTCATATTTTTTTTTTCTTTTATTTATTTTTATTTTTTTTTCAATTTTCTAGTATTCAACCTTGCAAGATCTGTATGGTGTGGATGCAGTGATGTCAAGTCTGCTACAAATTGTCAATACTGTTGATTTAGTAAGTATTTCAGAAATATATTCACCGTATGTGCATACGTAAATGGTAAAAGTGTTTCTGTGGTAAAAATAATTTAATGGTCCTATAATACAATATACAGCTTAACACATCACCTGCGAAAACCCTTCACATACAGTCAAAATGAATTCAAAATCTGACATCAGCGGGCGATAGATATTAAATCAACTGTGTAACTTATTTTCTTCTGAAAGCTAAATATAACTGAATGAGCAAAACAAAATTCACTGTCACTTAATAAAACAAAACTATGCAATGTTTTTATTGCTTCATTTGTAACTAATACTGTTTTTTACATAAATAAATGTCATAGTATTTTCAAGAACTGAACATACGGCTATCGTTGAGCTATGTCGAAATGTGGACCGAGACTGACCAGATTACTCCATCATCATACTTGGTGTCTTCACTTCAATCGTTTAAAGACTACGTCAGCATAAATATGGCAGATATACACAAGGACAATACTCAATTGCTAAGGTACTGCCATTAATTTCACAGTTTTGTACAATCCAAATGGGAAGACAGGTCACTTCACAGACAGTTGCGTTTTGTTAGTCCCTGTTCGGACGAAGTCCGAAAACGGGGACTTATAATTCGGTCTCCGTACGTCTGTGCGTCCGTCCGGAGTCGTATCTCAGAATCCTGTGGACCGATTTCGTTCATTCTTTGCATGTGCCTAGTACTTTATGTGGGACATATGCACATGCAGTGGTTTAGCGATTCGATTAGAAATGGCTAACTGGCAGCCATCTTGTTTTTTGAAAATGTTGTATTTTGGACATGTTTTGTCAGTTTTCATTCAAACTTGTGCATATATTATACATGTTGGGATACATGTCCATGACGATTTGTTTCACAATTGGATCAAAGATGGCCGACTGGCAGCCATCTTTTTTTTTGAAAATGTTGTATTTTGGACATGCTTTGTCAGTTTTCAGTCAAACTTGGTACATTGATTATACATGTTAGGATACTTGTCCATGACAATTTGTTTCAAAATCTGATCAAGGATGACCGATTGACAGCCATCTGTCTTTTTGGCCTTTTCCACAATTTATGTACCATTTTCATTCGTATTTGGCACATACAAAAATCAATTAATTATTATTTCTTGCAGTTTACTAAATAACATAACAAAAGAAAACTAAAGTGGAAGTTCAAATAATGGAGGTGTGGTCACTTTTTTTGTTCCACCGTTATCTCAAGAACCACTAATCAAATTTTGGTGAAACTTGCTACATAGATGCTCTGGGGTAATGCGCAGAGTTGATTAGGTTTTGGTAAAAATCTATGAATATTAACACTGATATCTCAAGTACTGATAATCACATTTGAATAAAACTTGGTACATAAATGCTCTAGGACAATAGACAGCCTGATTAATTTTGGGTTAAAATCTGTTCATATTAACTCTCTAATTAGCATAATAATTAATATTTTTTGGGTTCTAATCACATTTCAATGAAACTTGGTACATTGTGCAGACCTTATTAGTTTTACACTTAAATCTGTTCATATCAGTTACCTGATTTACATAATTAGTTTTCAGCTATTCCATCAATATCTCAAGTACAAGTAATTTTTAATTAATTTTTAATGTGTCTTCAATACTCTCAGCACACGGGAGTTCTTTCTAAGCTTTCTTTGATTTTTTTATGCGATATCTTGGACGTGCTCTGTCAGTTTTCATTCAAATTTGGCACATACATGTACTTTATACATGTTAGGATGCATGTCCATGACAATTTGTTTCAAAATCTGGTCAAGGATGGATGATTGACAGCCATCTGACTTTTTAGCCTTACTACTATATTTCCACAATTTATGTACCATTTTCATTCGTATTTGGCACATACATCATACATATCAGTGTGTTTCATAATCAGATCAAAGATGGTCAAATAACGGCTGTTTTTATTTTTGGCCATATTACTACTACACGGAACACGTGTTTTGATGTAAATAAACAATCTGTTGTGTACGCCACTTGGAACTAAAGTTTCAAGGACACGCTCGCGACAACCCCTCCGCTTTAATATGACGAGCACAAAGAGAACTTTCAAAAATTTAACGGGTGTCATTTTCAATGACTTGTTTTTCATATAATTGAACAAAAATACCAGTAACAAATTATTGTGAGAAATAAATAATAGTTTCAAGCCTAATTCACCCCTCCCAAAAAAACTCATTTCTTCTCTTTTCCCCCAACAGAAGAACTTTCCAAGAAGGTGAGATGGGAGTGTCATACTTTAATCGCTTGTGCTCAGCGAATCATTCAGTAGGAGTTAGTCAGGTAAGTTACGAATGACCGACTTATTTGAATGATTTTGAATTGTAATAGACGTGACTTGTATTTTTTCGCCAAATAGTGTTCCATTCGCTACCACCATCCCGTCAAAA